AGGTGCGGGACAGCCACTGCAGCAGCTCCTCCAGCTGGTGCTGGAACTGCCCCAGGCCCAGGAGAGCCGCCTCCAGCTGGTGCTGTGCGAGGGAAGGGGCAGGATGGGGCACCTGCCTGGCAGGGGACACGGCCAGCCCTGGCCAGGCACCCAGCGCCTGCGCAGCACCACGCACCCAGCACCCCCACGGCACCACGCACCCACTTTGCTGCAGCTCTTGCCCCATGCCCATGGCAGAACTGAGGCACCAGCAGCTCAGGCACCATCACCACCTCCCAGAGACCCCCCCGATCTCCCCCATACCCATGAGGATGGCACCCACCCCAGCACAGGCCAGACCAGGAGTGACCCCGCGCTGGCCGAGGCCCCCTCGCCTACCTGGCGACTGACTATCTCCTCCTCGAGGCGGTCCCAGCGCTGGCGGAAGTCGCTGAGCGGCGCTGGGGGTTCTCCGTGCCCGGCGCTGCCCAGGCCAGCCTGGTGCCGCAGACTCTCCACGTCCACCTTGCACTGGTAGAGCTCCCTCTTGAACTCCTGTGGGGACAGCTATGAGCAGGGCCACCTGCAAGCCCTGGCCCCATGCATGAGCCTGCAGGCCAGCTGCTCCCCCAGGCAGGCACGGCTTGACTTGACATGGCACAGCATGGCCCAGCATGGCATGACATGGCACTGCACATTGTGGCATGCATGGCAGAGCTGGGTGCAGCATGGCATGACATGGCACAGCATGGCACAGCTTTGCACAGCATGGCACAGCATGGCATGGCTTGGCACAGTACGGCACAGCAGAGCTTTGCACAGCATGGCACAACTTTGTACAGCACAGCATGCATGCATGGCAGAGCTGGGTGCAGCATGGCTTGGCACAGCACAGCACAGCATGGCATGGCTTTGCACAGCAGGGCTTTGCACAGCAGGGCACAGCATGGCATGTATGGCAAAGCTGGGCACAGCATGGCTTTGCACAGCACGGCATGCATGCATGGCAAAGCTGGGTACAGCATGGCATGGCTTGGCACAGCACAGCATGGCATGACATGGCTTGGCATAGCATAGCTTTACACAGCATGGCATGCATGCATGGCAGAGCTGGGTACAGCATGGCACGGCACAGCTTGGCGCAGCATAGCTTGGCACGGCACAGCTTTACGCAGCACAGCACAGCATGGCTTTGCACCGCTTGGAACAGCTCCTCACAGCTTGGCACTGCGCAGCCAGCGCGGTGTACCTGCCCTCTCCCGGGCCCGGAGCTCCTCCTCGTGGAGAGCGTGGGGCCCTGCTTGTTTGGGGCAGTTTTGGAGCAGCCCCACACCCTGCTGTGCACGCGGGTGACCCTGGGCCAGGGGCTCAGCCACCCCACGCCGACCACAAGCGGGTGCCCTGGAGGCACCAGTGCCGGCCAGCACGCCACCTTCTCACCCCGCTGCTGGGAAATGCCCCAAGCGCCCCTGGCTCAGCCCCTCGGAGCCGTCCCGTGCCTCCCCCCGGGCTTGGGGCTGCATCCTGCTGCACGACCCACCTTGAGCTCCGCCAGCTGCTGCTGCACCATGTCCAGGTCGCCGCCAACGAGGAACTCCTCCGCGATGCGCAGCTCGGCCGTGT